CATAACTACAATTGTGAGGATGGCGCAGGACCAAGCAGCGTTTCATTCTGTTGTACACAGGGTCGGTATGAGTTGGAACCAACTCAGTGGCACCGAACAACAAGAACTGTGTGTCATAATAATCTAGATGAGCTGGGATTTGGTCTATTGAAAGTGATCTCAGTTTTCTGGTGGCCTAACATGTACCTAGTTCAATATGTGTAGACTGGACCAAGAGATTTGTATTTCCTAGTGAGAGTATTACTAGAGAGAAAGGGAAAATTTTACATTTCTTAGAAGTTGGCTAGATTTGCAATCTCTATTCTTAAAAGAAGTTGCCCTGGTAGACTGTGTTTTCTCTTACTTCCAGAGGAAAATGTGGCATTAGCAATTAGTAACAGATTATATTCTTACAATTAATTGAAGCCTAGAGAATTAAAAGTATAAGTAGCAAAGATAAACTTTAAGAGCACAGGCTTTCTCAGCTAATGCTCAAAACTTTTAAGTATCTGCATACATTTTCTGAAGAATAGGGACAGTGTGATTTTTTTATACCATTTCTCATTCCTGTAAGGTCTACATAAGCTTGTATATACCCAGAGGCTCCGGGAACTAACAGTAACATACTAAGATTTTTCACACAAGGTGTATGAACAGATTTCTGAGGAATTTTCTGAAGACCTTGAAATTATACATAAAATATAGCTGTGTGTAGATATGTATTGTAAGTTTCTGAGGAGAGGGTCTTTAGCTTTTACCCAATTATCAGGAAGCTGGTGACATTTACCAACTATTTAAACCTCTGTTCACTGGAAAGGAGACCTGGTGGCACAGTGGTTAAAGCGCCTGGCTGCTAACCAGAAGATCAGTGGTTCAAACCCACCAGCTGCTTTGAAGGAGAAAGATGTGACAGTCTGCTGCCATAAAGACTTACAGCCTTGGAAACCCTATGAGGTCTCTATTATTCAGAAAAGACTCGACGGCAGGGGGTTTAAAGACGCAATCACCATTAAATACTGCACATGGGTGGCAGAGAATTGGAGCGATGCTGATGAGGAGACTAAGAAAAAGAGTGAGAAATAGAGAGGCAGGTAAAGGAGGATAAAGAGAAGGATAAAGTCCCAGAATATTGAAAAGAGAAAAGCAGATGTTAAAGTCGTTGAAATCATCATGCACGAACATCTAACAAACAACTCAATATATGCAATATGTGATATACATTTACATAAGAAGAAGCTCCCCGAGAAGAGAGGAGACTCAGAGAATTTGATGTATAGAAGGTGATCTATGATCTGGATCTTGAAGGACTAGTTCATAAAGCCAAGAAGTGAATGGTAAAGAAAGGCACTTCATGCTGAGTGACCAACATTCTTCCTCCTTCTTTCCTTCTCATGTGTTTTCCTTTTTCTTTCTCCCTTTCATTTATTCATTCTTTCTAGTCAGCCTGTTAATCAATAAACATATACTGAATTTTTAAAACATGTAATGTGCAACAACAACGGCTTAGAAAACTGAAGTGAATAATATCAGTTGTGTGCCATCGAGTTGATTCTGACTTACAGTAACGCTATAGGACAGAGTAGAACTGCCCCACAGGAGA